CATGTACACCTCACCCTCAACCCTCCTGATTGTACCCCCGCCCGAACGCGCCCCCCACCCCCCCACGAACGCCTGGAACCGAACTCCCTCGCCCGTAGAAAACGAGACCACGACCCAGGGGCCGAGAAAACGAAAAAACGATAAACCAAACCAGGGTCCGAGAAAACGAGACCACGACCTAGGGGCCGAGAAAACGAGAAACCAAGAAAACAAAGCAGATTCCGAGAAAACGAAACCATGACCCAGGGGCCAAGAAAACGAGAAAACGAGAAAACGAACTACGGTCCGAGAAAGCGAAACTACGACCTAAGTGCAGAGAAAATAAAAAACAAACCAGGGTCCGCGAAAATAAAACCACGACCAAGGGCCCGAGAAAACGAGCAAACGAGAGAACGAACCAGGGTCCGAGAAACCGAAACCACGACCCAGGTGCAGAGAAAACGAAGAAACAAGAAAACGAACCAGGGTCAGAGAACACAGTACCACGACTCAGGGGCCGAGAAAACAAGATAACGAACCAGGACCAAAGAAAAGGAGACCATGACCCAAGTGCCGAGAACACGGGAAAACAAGAAAACGAACCAGGACCACGACACAGGAATCAAAAAAACAGGAAAACAAGAAAACAAACCAGGGCCTGAGACAACGAGACCATGACCCAGGGGCCGAGGAAACGACGAAACGAACCACGGTCCGAGAAAGCAAGTCCACGACCCAAGTGCAGAAAGAACGAGACAGCAATAACACAAACCAAGGTCCGAGAAAGCACGGCCACGACCCAAGTGCAGAGAAAATGAGAAAACGCGAAAACGAACCAGGGCCCGAGAAACCGAAACCACGACCCAGAGGCAGAGAAAACGATAAAACGATTAAAACGATAAAACGAGAGAACGAACCATAGCCAGAGAAAACGAGACCACGACCCAGAGGCCAGAAGAGAAAACGAGATAACAAACCAAGGCCAGAGAAAAGTAGACCACTACACAGAGGCCGAGAAAACGAGAAAGCAAGACAACGAACCAAGGTCAGGGACACAGTACCACGACCCAATGGCAAAGAAAACAAGAAAACGAGAAGACGAACCAAGGTCTGAGAAAACAAGACCACGACACAAAGACTGAGAACAAGAGAAAACGAAACCACAAACCAGGGCCTGCGAAACCGTGACCACGACCCAAGAGCCGAACAAAAACGAGAAAACGAGACAACGAACCCGGGTATGAGAAAGCGACACCACGACCCAGGGGCCGAGACACCGAGAACACGAAGAAGAGCCCGAGAAAACGAGACCACGACTGAAAGGCCGAGAACACGAGAACACGAGAAAACTAACAAACATCAGAGAAACCGAAACCACGACCGAGGGGCAGAGAAAACGGGAAAACGAGAAAACGAGACAGAGCCAGAGAAAACGAGACCACGACCCAGAGGCCGAGAATAAGAGGGAACAATCAAACTAAGCAAGGTCCGAGAAAACGAGATCACGACCCAGGAGCCGAGAAAACGAACAAACGATGAACCGAACCAAGATCAGAGAACGCGAAATCACAACCCAGGGGACGAGAAAACGAGACTACGAGAAAACGAACCAAGGTCCGAACAAACATAATCCACGATCCAGGGGCCGAGAAACCGAGAAACCCAGCAAACGAACCAAGGTCCGAGAAACCATCCCCACGACCCAGGGGCCCAGAAAACGGGAAAACGAGAAAACCAACCAGGGTCAAAGAAAACGAGACCACGAACCATGGGCCGAGAAAACGAGAAAACAATACAACGAACCAGGGCCAGGAACAAAAACGGTACCACGACCCAGGGGCCGAGAGAACAAGAAAACGAAACAGGGCCCGAGAAACATGAGATGCCCAAAGATAGCTGGTAAGTAGTGCTGAGATGAACTAAGTTGTAATTGCTTTAACTTTGATGATCTGAACTGAACTAAGATGATCGACTTGGAACTTGGAGTAGCTAGAACAACTTTTCAACTTCGCACAACTAAGGAACTTAAGTTCAGGGAAGCTGGCAAGTTGAGTGTAGTTCGGTGAAGTTTGTTGAAGTGATCGGGGAAGTTACGGGAAGTTGGGGGAGTTTATTTTCCCAACCTTCCTGTGGTGTTGGGTCCTCGTTTTGAAGAGACAGCGCCCCGCGTCTCCTCCTTCCTTCCTCCTTCCCCCCTCCCCCCTCCTCCCCCTGAGGGGGCCCGTGCCGCGGCATCACGAATTGGGGAGGGCTCGGGGGTAGCGCTTGATGTGTACACATATTGCTATCGGTACACAAAGATATCCACATGTACGTTTGTATGTATGCATGCATGTGTGTATGCATGTAGGTATGTGTGCATGTCTGTTTGTATGTATGTATGTATGGATGGAGGTATGTATGTATGTATGTATGTATGAATGTATGTATGCATGCATGCATGTATGTATGTATGTATGTATGTATGTGTGTATATGTGTATGTGTGTATGTGTGTATGCATGCATGCATGCATGCATGCATGCATGCATGCATGCATGCATGTATGTATGTATGTATGTATGTATGTATGTATGTATGTATTTATGTATGTATGTAATGTATGTATGTATGTATGTATGTATGTATGTATGTAATGTATGTATTATGTATGTAATGTATGTATTTATGTATGTATGTATGTGTATGTGTATGTATGTATGTATGTATGTATGTTGTATGTAATGTATGTATGTATGTATGTGTTGCATGGATGCATGTATGTGTGCATGTGTGTATGTGTACAAATATGTATGTAGATGCATTGACGCGGAATCACCGCCAGCTCGGAAACGGAAGTCGTGATAATGTCTGAAGCGAAACGGCCCAGAACACCTGATTTTGGTTGAACATGTCCCTGTGCGCCGCTCCCTGGGCCAGACGGGAATTCGATGAGAGCAAGAACCCTGTCAATACAACTGTTCGTTCAGGGAACCAACGACCCCCGAAAACAACCCAGACATCGCATGCGCCCCCACTGGAGCCCGCACAACCTCAGGACAAGGCCTCTGGGAGCCCAGAGTTGCGAGCTTCTTTCCAGCGTAACGAGCCACACAACCTCTCCAGCGGCGGCTCGTATCCCACAACTGCAAGGACGTCTCAGGCGGAACGGCCCAGACCACGCCGCAAAAAGCACCGCGGTGAAACAATCTCGAGGACATATCCAACGACCCCCCCTTCCAAAGAGAGGGGAGGGGGGGGAGCTTGCGAAGCCCCCCCCCTTGCAAAAAGGAGCCTGGGCTAACCTTCCGCTCCGAAAACCAAGGGGGGGGTAGCTTGGAAGCCCCCCCCCTTTGCAATGCAACCCCCTCTGGCCGCACAGAAGGGGGGAGATTCGCAATCCCCCCCTCCCTGGAAAGGGGAGCCAGGGCTTACCCCAGACCCTCAAAAAGGGGGGAGGGAGGGGGGAGCTTCTGAGCTTCCCCCCCTTTTGCCCAGAGAGGAAGGTAGCTACGGACGCCCCCCGCCCCCCCTTTGTAAAGGAGAGCCCGGGCTTACTCTGGAACCCCAAAAAGGGGGAGGGGCGGGGTAGCTTCGAACCCCCTCCCCTTCAGCTCGGGCCCCCCTCCAGTTCAATAACGCAGAACAAAGGAAGGGGGGAGAGGGGTAGCTTCGGAAGCACTCCCTCCCTTTCCGAAGGGAGGGGGGGTAGCTTCAAGCTGGGACCCCCCTATTCCTGGCCGTGCGGGCGCGCTCTTTCACACGCTTCGTGGCCCCATAGGAAGCTCGACCCAAGGCCCCGGCGGCAGGGTTCGCATGCTGCCGCATCTATTTCGGTACATCCCTCACACGCTTCGTGGGCCCATAAGGAGCTTCGGCCAGGTTCGCACGCTGCCGCGTGCATTTCGGCGAGCCCGTCACACATTTCGTGGCCTCAAAAGGAGCTCCACTGAAGACCCAAGTGGCAAGATTGGCATGCTGTCGCGCCCATGTCGGCACACCCCATCACACGCTTTGCGGCCACATTTGGAGCTCCACCGAAGGCCCCTGTGGCAATGTTCGCATGCCGCCGCGCCCATGAGTAGTGCCGCCGCGCCCATGAGTAGCACACCCCGCACAGGCTCTGTGGCCCCGTAGGGAGCTCTACCGAAGGCCGCTGTGGAGATTTTCACGTGCTGCGGCGCACATGTCGGCACATTCCTCACGCGCTTCGTGGCTCCATAGGAACCTCCACCGAATCCACCCGTGGCAAGGTTCGCATGCTCGCATGCTGCTGTGCCTACTTCGGCACACCCCTCGCGCGCTTCGTGGCCCCATCGGGAGCTAAATCGCTTCTCCTTCTCGCTTCTCGTCCCTGACCTCCTGCTATTGTTTCTCCTCGGCCTTCTCATCCACGTCCCAGTCCTCTTGCTCGCTCCTCTTCCTTCTTATCAGTTGTCTGCGCTACGGCTCGCAGGTTCATGAAGTTGGGCCCTCCGCTGGGAAAGGTCTCTGGCTAGGCTTTGATTCGATCGTGCTCCCCCTGTCGGGACTCAGACTGCCCGAAGAAGGCGGACGCTACCCTCACAGGGTCGGCCCAGTTCGGCTCAGAGAAAACCCCTGGAGGGCCTCTAAGAGACGACCCGAGGCGGCCGGAGGGACGGCGGAAAGGGCGAGCGGAGGGGCAACACCGGGAGAAGTGACCGAGAAACGTCTTTGCCCAAACATCTGACTACCTACCAGACCACCCCAACCCAACCCGAAGACCCGAATTTCGGGTTGGGGGGGGGGGGGGGTAAGGGTTCCACATGTGTTTTTTCGATGTTTCCCGACCCACCTCCCACTGGAAATCGAGGGTAAATCTGAGCCTTCGGGTTGGGTTGGGGTGGTTTGGTGGGTGGTGAACATCTCCCCTCTCGCGCGCAGCTGGCTCCCGCCCAGCCGCCCCGAATTTCCGCGGCTGCCCACGACATACAACTGTGGCTGCCATGGCGGCGACCGCAGACGGATCGAAATGCCGAAGCGAGAGGCAACAGCTCGCAACGAGAAGGCGCGGCGAGACGCCTTGAAGCCATCCAGCGCGCTCTGGTAAAATGTGTCCGCTTCGGCCATGCGACCCATGACCTGCACTTCCACGCCCGTATTCATCATAGCAACTCCAAATCGCACTTGCCGTCCTGCGTGGTACGCAACGCTTGCTCCCTAAGACAGCCTGGGTACGTGAGCAGACCTTGGACATGCTTGGCAATGACGTGTGCCCCGTAGCAACGGGTAAGAGAACATGTGGGTGAGCACGCGCGCGCGCGCCAGGACCCATGGCCGAGCTCCCTCGCCCGCTACGGTGAAAGACCCTTCGCTCAGAGCACCCTGTGCGGCGAGGAGCCGGCCTCGAGCACAACGCACTCAAAAGCAAAGCAAGATCGCTGGGGCGCCCCTGCCCTCTCCGATTAGAGAGCGATCCATCCGTTTCGACACCTCGGCCCGAGAACCAGTGTGCGGCAGGATGGGGCTGGCTCAGGCGAGTGTGGGCGCTCTGTGATCCAAAGCTAGTGCTGCCCCTTCTGGTCCTCCTAGTCCTCCCCCTTCTCCTCCTCTCGTCTCCCTCCTTCTCCTTCCCCTTCTCCTCCTCCGCCTCCTCCTCCCTCGTCATCACTATCACCACCATCACCACCATCATCATCATCACCACCATCACCACCATCGTCATCATCATCACCATCATCACCATTACCATCATCATCATCACCATCATCATCATCATCATCATCATCATCATCAGCAGCAGCAGCAGCAGCAGCAGCATCAGCATCAGCATCAGCATCACCATCATCACCATCGTCATCACCATGGTCATCATCATTTTCAGCAGCAGCAGCAGCATCTCTCTCCACCCGCATCTCGTTCTGGTCATCCTGAAACTAAATCCTGCGAGCCACGCTCCATTCGCTATCTCAGCGTGGCCCTCTGACGGACAGATCGGCCGCGCGGCTCCCGCGCATGCCAGGGCGACGACGAACACTTGCTTGTCCAGCGTGCGGCCCCTCTGGAGAACGAGCGCGCTCCACCAACAACGACGGATCCACCACGGGACCTCCCCAAACAACCCATGCTGTAAGAATCCCGCTTTCGAGAGGCCGAATGCGGAGCATGTGCCGCCGGAGTGCCGTGCCGTGCCTGGGTTCCAAAGTGCGAGAAAAGCGTGTCGTGCCGTGCCCGCATTCCCGCCGTGCCACGCCCGGGCTCTCGAATCTGGACGATTCGTCCGTGCCTGCCGTGTGGCTGGGCTCGAGCACGCGACAGCGTGCCGTGCCGTGCCGTGCCGTGCCTGCGTGCCGTGCCCACGCCCAAGGGCGGGGATGCGAAAGCCGTGCCGTGCCGTGCCACGTCAGCGCGTCGTGCCGTGCCCAGCTCTGCGGAGTGCGGGAGGGTGTGCTGTGCCGTGCCGTGCGGTGCCCCGCCTTGCCGCGCCGTGCCCGGGTTCCAGGGCGCGAGGCACGTGGCGTGCCGCATGCCTGGATTCGAGAATGCGGAGGCTTGCCGTGCCGTGCCGTGCCGCGCCCAGATCGTGCAGTGCGAAGAGTGTGCCGTGCCGAGCCGTGCCGAGGTCTTGGAATTCTGAAGACGTGCCGTGCCCACGTGCCGTGCGGTGCCCGAGTGCCAGAATGCGACGCACGTGCCGTGCCGTGCCCTCTCCGCGCGCCGTGCCGTGCCGTGTTCGGCTTCTTGCGGCACTGGCCACCCACACCAAACAAGCCTCTTGGGCACGATGTTTGCTTTTCGGGGTGCCGTGATCGTCACTCGTGCTGGTGGGCACGATGTTTGCTTTTTGGGGTGCCGTGATCGTCCCTCGTGCTGTGGCTTCGCCGTGTGCTCCTGGGGGTGCCATGATCGTCCTCTGGGCTGTGGCTATGCCGCCTGCCACTTTCTGGGGTGACGGCGTCCCACTTCCGTCTCAAGAACGCTGGTCTTGTGGCGCCACTCGGCGCTCACATATTTTCGATTATTAGTTCGGAATGGCCTCAACAGCGGCCCCGAATGGTTCGCTCCGCCTCAGCCAAACATGTCAACACACCATGTGTGATCTCATGCAGCATTTCTGTTTAGGCTTTCTTTGCAAGGTGTAGGCTTAAAGGGCGAGAGTGCAGGCGAGTGTTAGGGGGAGATATGATATGGCGGGGGAGGAGCGGGGCGAAGGGAGGGAGAAGGAAGGAGGGGCGACGAGGAAGATGAAAATGGTAAAGAACCGAATTCCATATGCACCGACGCTCTTCCCGGCCCCGCACAGAAACTCGAACAAGAAAGCTGATCCTGGTGTATAATACGGGATCCTGGTGTATACATGTTTCGTTGTGTCCCTGGGGAAACTAAGAAAAAGTATACACCACACGACCCCGACGTCGTTCCCGACCCTCCAGAAGTCCTGGGATTGAGAAACAGCCCGCCACTGGAAACGTAGATGCTCCAGTTTCCGAAGAAGGAGTCTCTGGAGAGGTGCCTCGGCGCATGGACGGCGCGTCGGGGCCCCGGTGGAACTGGAGCCCACCAGATCGCGGCCAGTGTGGAGGCTGCGCGACGGAGGAAGGGCTGGTGCGAATCAATCACCCTCTGGGCGACTGATCTGGCAAGGACCCTCCTCCTCCTCCTCCTCCTCCTCCTCCTCCTCCTCCTCCTCCTCCTCCACCTCCTCCTGCTGGTTCAGGGTTCCTGGTGGCTGGACGGTCGTACAGACGGAGCTCCCCTCCTCCTCCTCCTCCTCCTCCTCCTCCTCCTGCTCTCCTCCTGCTCCTGCCCTCCTCCTCCTCCTCTCCTCCTCTCCTGCGTCTTCTCCTCCTCCTCCTCCTCATCCCTCATCATTGCCTCATCTCCTCCTCCTCCTCCTCATCATCATCATCCCATCACCATCACCATCACCATCACCATCACCATCACCATCATCATCATCATCATCATCATCAGCATCATCATCATCATCATCATCATCATCATCATCATCATCATCATCATCATCATCATCATCATCATCATCAGCATCATCATCATCATCATCATTATCATCATCGTCCTGATCATCATATTTTTCCTCCTCAACCTCCTTTTCCTCACCATAACCAACATTACCCCAGTGCGACCCTACCTAGAAGTTGGAGCCCCTAGGAAAGCATAATTAGTTACTATGCCATGCTATGCTATGCTATGCTATGCCATGCTATGCTGCGCTATGCTATGCTATGCTATGCTATGCTGCGCCATGCTATGCTATGCTATGCTATACTAGGCGATGCTAAGCTATGATGTGTCATGCTGCGCTGTGCTATGCTAAACTACGCTATACTATGCTATGCTAAGCTGCGCTATGCTATGCTGTGCTACGCTATGCTATGCTACGATATACCATGCTATGCTGCGCTGTGCTATGCTATGCTATGCTGTGCTGTGCTGTGCTATGCTATGCTATGCCATGCTAATGCAGCGCTGCGCTGCGCTATGCTACGCTAAGTTAAGCTAAGCTAACCCTCTAGGCAGAACCTAAGCTAAGATGACATAAGCTAAGATGAAATAAGCTAAGCTAAGATGAAATAAGCAAGATGGTGAAGCTAAGCTAAGCTAAGATGAAATAGGCCAAGCTAAGATGAAATAAGCAACGCTAAGCTAACGGGACGTAACTGGGGGAACCGCGGGGCGGATCCTGGGGGAACCGCTCAGGGCGATTTCCACTGCCCGGCCGCTTCAAGATAGAGAGTAAGAACCCTTCTAGGCAGAGCCTAGGTAGGGAATCAGTTTCAACAACAGCAACAACAGCACCACCACCAACAGCACCATCATCATCATCATCATCATCATCATCATCATCACCAGCAGCAACAGCACCACCACCACCACCATCCTCATCATAAGCGTCATCATCAGCATCATCATTATCCTCATCCTCCTCCTCCTCCTCCTCCTCATCATCCGTTTTATGACCCTACTCCTGCTCCTCCGTTTTGTTCCCCCTTCCTCCTTAGCATCACCATCATCATCATCATTGTCATCATCAGCACCCGCATCAGCATCAGCATCATCATCATCGTCATGTTCATCATCATCATCATCATCATCAGCATCATCATCGCCATCATCATCGTCATCGCCATCGTCATCATCATCATCAACAACATCATCATCACCGTATCACCATGGCCATCTTCCTTATAACCACCTCATCCACATCCCCACGATCATCATCAGCATCAGCATCAGCATTATCATCATCACCAACCGCATCTTTCGTATTATTATAACCATCATAATCATCATCCTACTCATGAGCATCTTCATCCTCATCCTCGTCATCCTCATCGTCCTGATCCCCATGGTCATCCTCATAATCATAATCATCAACATCATCAGCACCAGCTGCGTCAGCCCCGACCCTTTCTACATAACAACAACACTTGAAACGCATCCGAGTTATGCCTGCCATGCCGTCGGAGGGCCACGGCGAGACACAAGACAGACCCCAGGTGCAAAGTTCGCTCAGCCCGCAGAATCGGAGGAGGAGAAGGAGGAAAGAGCACTGGAGCCTGCGGAACGCCACTCGCTCTGTCCCAGCTGCAGCCTGAACCCGAAAATCTTTCTACATATCGCCTCCGCGAGGATACCACGGTGCCCCAGGACATGCGCCGACGCGGGCCTCGTTGCCTCGCCGGGCCGCAAGTGCGCGTCGCCATTGCGATCCACGCGATGGCTGCCTCGGGGCCGCGCGGCAAGTCGCAGCGGTCGCCGCCGCCGCCTCGGCCAAGATCTGCATCTTCACCGCGCAAGACACGGCCCAGAGCAGAGGCCGGCGCGTCCCGGCGGGCGCCGGCCGCCTCCAGCAGCGGCGGGCCCGGCCCGCCCGCGGCAGCGGCAGCCGGCCTTGGACGCGGTAGCGGCAGCCGGCCCGCCCGCGGTAGCGGCAGCAGGCCTTGGAACATCGCGACGGCGGCGGTCAGCTTCTCGCCCAGATACTTAGATGGGTGCGGATTCTATAAAACACTATATATAGCTATCGTGCACTATAGGATCCTATCAACATGCATTTTAAAAATAAGAGAAATAATAAGAAAATAATGAAAAAGAATGAAATCAGTAGTGCTAAATAA